GCTATTTGTAAAAGTGGGGGAACGACATTGATTGACATTCCCCTTTTATTTTTCATACTAAAACAGAAGTTAGAGTTTTATTGCTGTTTCTCATAAGCACAACATTAATAGAGGGGAAAAGAGCATCTTGAAGCCTGTATGCTGCCAATCTCTGTGCTAATTCTAAGGATTTTGAGGTAACAAGGGTGAAGTGGGCTTACATATAAACTCACATACTATATTCCACTTTTATTTATTATCAAACCCCGTAAGAGCACAATCAAATCTCAGACAATAAAGCAAACCAAGGAAATGTTAATAAGAACATTTGCAACTTCCAAGGTAGTACTTAGGACCCATGACTGAAAATAGAAAAGTACCACATTCATTTTAACTATACACTGATATCTAAAAGACGTTTCTTAAGATCTCCAGGGTTTATTTTCCTTTTTTACAAAAGATAAAAACACTTGAATCTGAGAAACAGTCAGTCCACTATCAGTTATAAATATTCTTAAAGTTGGTAGAAGACATATAAACCAGAGTTTTATCATGAAAGTTCTGATTCTACAGACACCTTAATAAGAATCCTTAGCTTCACAGCCATTACTTCAGAGAACTACTCAATATAGAAAGATTAATCACTTGAAACAAGTATTACCATGATCTGATCTCAAAGACAGACACCTATCCTGTTCAGTACTTCATTTCATTACCTAGCGAACAACCCACTGCAGGGAAATTAAACAAGCACTTGAAGATCTGAAGAATCAGGAACAAAACACTGAACCCAGCTAGCCTTACAACAGAACTCTAACAAAATTATTCAGTTGAGAGTATAGAATTTATTCTATAGCCTCTGTGTGTAAGTCTCATGTGCTTAAAGCCAGATAATTCTATAAAACAGTATAATATTTATCTAAAATTAAGATTAAAGCTAAACACTGGCTACAGCTCTGACAATTGAACATTACTATCTAATTTGAAACAGACAGCTTTGGGAGTTGTAAGAATACAAGCCTCAGAATTGCCATATGCAATTGCCTATCTGGAGGGTCTAAATAATTGAAGAGCTAGTGCAAAAGCTGAAAAGATCCTGCTTTTTACTAAGTAACTACAGCAGATTTCCTTTTTCCAATACCTTGTAAGATTTATGAAATCTTCAAAATGGGATACTCTCTCTCTTAAAGTCATTTTACAAACTCTTTTCCAAGCTATTGCAAAACACATTTAGAGCTCACAGCACAGCTTACCACTGTGCTATGGCACTGTAAGCACTGCTAATTCACCAACCTTGAAAGAAAAACAGGGGAAGAGGGCTTTATCATCTCTCAGCCTTTCTTCTAATATCAACCTGAAAAGGGCAGTTTTTCAGTTAAATAAGTATTTTTAATATTTTCTAATAGATATTAGAAAAAATCTTTAGTTTGAGAACTATGTTTTAAAAAAGAAAAATTGTGTATAGACCCCATTATTATACACCAGAATAAAAGCTTAGTTATGATACCTTTATGATAGATGGGGAGTAATGTCTCCTTATAAATCTCCCTAGGATGAACACTCTGCAGGCACAAAGATGGACTTTATTGGAAATGAATGGCTCCATTTTCTTTCCTTTGAAGTTAATTGAAGTTCTGCTGTCTTTTTAGTAGTAGCACAGTCTGTTCCTCATTTAAGACTCTTGTCCTACATACACTTATGTGGCATTCCACACGTAAGTGCAAATACTAAAAAACCCAAAACAAAACCCAAGCCACAGGACTATATTCATATCTAGCATAAATCAGTCTATCTTCATTACAGCAGAATTCTTGAGCAGAGAATCCAGGACATTTATTTTTACTTAATGTTTGAACAGACGAAATAGAAAGACAAAAAGCATCAGATTTTACTTTCCAACTTTATATGCTTTCCTTTTTGCTTAGAGACAAAAGTTACGATTACTAAAGTATAATTAGTCTTTTTTTCAATCTTCAATTTTCTGATAACATTCAGTTTTCAACAAAGCCAAAAAAATTTCAGTCTAGAAGAATATAATAAATTAATTTCCAAAGTTTAGCAAAGTCTTTGTTATTGCAAAGAAAAGTAAGTTCTTGGACCTGAACAATTTGCTTATCTACTTTTGCTTGGTCTCATTTGTGTAGGGAGTGTCAAGGAGCAGCAAGGGCTGGGTGCTCCCTATGGGACAGGGAACTAAAGACAATAACAAAGCCCCACCATACCTGAGCAAGGTGAGCAGGGCAGGCCCTAGTAGCAGCCAGGTTCAACCAAGAGTCCAGATCAACGAGCAACTTTATGGTGTAAGGCCAAGCCAGGAACATGAGTCAGGATCAGGTCCAGTGATAGAAAACAGAGTCAGGCACAGCCCAGTAATTTCTAGGCACATCCATAGTGCCAAGGCAGATCCAAAGTCAGGCCAGAAACCAAGTCTGGAGTTTGGGGTCAGACACCCACAGCATGGCCGTGGCTGAACTGGAGACCCACACGCCTACAGCACAGCTCAGGAAGCGACCAAAACCCCCAGGCTGAGCTGAAATGGACCCCCTGGGCCCACAGAAGGGTGTGAGAGAAAGCCCCTAGTGACGCTGGTCAGGGTCATTAAAGTCTATTAGTGCCCTCAGGTCCTGACAGAAAGAGATGTGTTTTCATTTTTCAAGCAGCAGCTGAAGCAGATAATAGTTTTCCCTTGAGGGAAAAAAAGTAGTAGTAGAAGATTTCAAAAGAAATGTCTTACTTTACAAAGCCTTATAACTTACACCACAATGTTTTTTTGTCAATGAACAATATAGGTAGCTAGTTTTTATGGCCTGTGGGTTACACAGGAGAACTGTTATTGTAAGAATCATAACCAAGGCCAATCTGAGAGGGTTGTCAAAATGAAAAGAATAGAAGCGATTTCTATGCAGGATTTTTCAAAGCAAGAAATGTTGGACTTGATCCTGAGAAATGCTGACCATTTCCTGGGAGGTTGTAAGCCCTCAGCTTTCATTACCACTCTCCCTGTATTAACAGAAACCCAATCTTGGGCTTCCTGAAATTTCCAGAAATCTCTGAATCGCACAGAAACTTAACTGGTGCATAAGGCTTTGTACTAACATTTTTGTAAATGCCTTAATGCTTTGATTTAATTCATTTACACAGAGTTACAAGAGTGTCGTAAGACACTAAAGAGACATTGACGTGTCTTCCTGTGGATATGGAGGTGCATAGGGTACCTGGTTTTCTGGCCTTTGAGTTGAAAGCTGCTGTTTTATCCTAATAGTTTCAGAAACTGATGTGAGCTAACCAAAACTGCCACAAAGACTAACTAGGCTCATGGAGATTTTAGTATAATTTTTAGGCCTATGTTAACCAAATCTGTATAATAGATTGTAAAATTATATAAACATATATATGATAAATACAGCACATTAAAGATCATTATTAAACTTTTAGAAGGAAAAGCTCAATTTCTAGCTACCCTTTATTGAAAAAAATAAAAAAGTCTGTCCACCTCTTGTTATGAAGTATTGCTAAAAAAATGTTTTAGTATGGTTTTCAAATGGAAGAAGATGAATTTGGCTAACAGATACCCATTTAAAACTGCGCAACGCAGTCTATAAACTGTGAACATACAACTATCACCATGTTATTTCGTGAAAGTTCTTACTTACCCATTCCTCTGTCTCTGAAAATACTAGCTTGGGAATCGGACATAGAAGCTTTCTTTGACAGCCCATTTCCTCTAGAGGTGAAGCAGAAGGACTAACCAGCTGACTTTTCAGGGCTTTTTTTTCTGAAAATTAAGTTATAAAGTTGTTAGGGGAATTTCTGAAACTTAATTCATTGCCTGTGGGATTCAAATGTTTTAAAAAGAGTATTTTTTATATATTGTAATGCTTCTGAGTCATGCCGTCCCTCTCTTAAAGCTATCTTCACTTAGCTTATCTGTAAGAGCCTTAGTTCCTCAGGGCTATACAGCTCAGATAGCTTTTTTTTTTCCTCTCCCTTTCCTTGGGAAGCTCTAACATACAGTTTTAGAAATCTGTAATTAGGTAGTGCTCTGGTTTTATGTTTGTCTCTTCACTAATAGAGAGGGCTTGATTCCCTCCTCAATTCTTAGTTTGAACATTGAGAATCAAGAATTCCCTGTACTTCTGAAGGTCAGAACAACTGGTGCTCAATTCTGACATCAGTCCGACCTATGTCTTTTGCTTGTTTTAATGGACATGTAACAATAGTAATGACAGAGCACATAGGATGCCAAAAGGATGCAAATGTATTTTTGTAAGACTGAACTGAGAGTAGTATGTACGTTTAGGTTCATTCATGAATAGTCCTGATGTGCTTTAGCAAACTTTGGGCTCATGACTGGAAATTTTTGCAACAGGTACCAAAGGGCACACTACTTTCAGAGTTGCGTCCTCAAATTACACAATCAAATTTGTGCGGTTTCCTGCAGTTACTTCAGAGCAAACAGATGCCAGCAGGCCTGGCCTGGGCTGAGGCTGTGAAGTGACCCCTGTACCCTCACTGCTCGGCCGCTCTGACTGCCCGCAGGCTTTCTGGAGCCCAAATCTGTTAACCTCCCAAAACCACAAGGGCAAACGTTCTTTGGGTGCCACCACTATCCTCGATGGCATCCAAACTCTGTCAGGGCCCTGGTCTTATTGTGATGACTAGAACATGCTCACCTCAGGCCTCTCCCTCTGGTGCAGGTGGGCTGTGAGGGAAGCTGCGGTGCATAAGGGAAAAATGGGAATGAGAGCTGAGAGAGATATAGGTGCCAGCGAGCTGTACAGTGAAGGACAGAGCAAGGTGCGCTCAGGGACAGAAAAGCGCCGAGCAATTTAACCGCTGCCGCCACCGCGGAGGAGGCGCAGCCGCCGTGAGGCTGCCCAGCGGTACGCCACGCTCAAGATGGCGACCGACACCACCCCAATCCCGCCACACTATTCTCGCTTCCGATTGGCTAGAAGGACTGGCAGTCTGTGATGTCAGCCAATCAGCCGGCCGCTGCGGCCCCGGGGGCGGTGCTGAGGCCTGTCCCCTGGGGGCGGGTGTTCTGCGCCTGTCGCAAGAGGCGGAATGAGCCGCCTGGGCCCGTGGGTGAGGCCGCGGCCCCGCGGCTGTGGGCTCTGCGCGGTGCTGCGGGGGCTGCGTCGCGTCTCGGTGGCTGCCGGCCTGCGCCGGGGCCTGGCGGGCTCCAGCACCGCCTCTGTCGCGGGCATGGAGGAGCTGCTGAGTCGCTCCGTGCCGCCGCTGCCGCCCTACGAGACCAAGGAGAAGGCGCCGCCTCCGGCGGAGCTGCGCAGCGCGGAGTTCGTGCGGTACTACCGCGGCCTGGAGGCCGGGCCGCCCAGGGCCGAGCTCCTCACCCGCCTGGCCCGCGACTTCGGCGTGGACCATGGCCGGGTGGCGGAGTTCAGCGCCAAGGTGCTGCAGGCCCGGGAGCAGCAGAGGGAGCTGGGGGCTCTGCTGCAGGCTGAGGACCGGCTCCGGTACTACCTCAACCCCCAGTACCGGGGTCTCTTCCAGCACCTGGGCCGCCTGGAGGGCGGGCTGCGCTTCCTGGTGGAGCTGAGGAGCGACCTGGTGGAGGGGCTGGCGACCAAAGTGATGGACGGGCCTCATGTCAAGGTGAGGGCTGAGCTGGGGGTGGGTGCCTCTGAAAGGGAGTCGGGGAGAGGCCGGAGGGTTTGGCTTGGGGCTTCTTGCTAATGGTGCTACTCGATGGGCTGGAAAGCGTCCAATGAGCCTGTTTCACAGTTGGTGTCACCATGGTGTGAACTGAGGGAACCCCTTCCCACAGGCGGTGGCACCAGTGGGAGCTGGCCTTGCAGACAGCTCAGGAAGGGAGCGGCTCGTGGTGTGGAGCAGTGGGCTTTGCAAGGTGAAGTGGCAGTGGGAGGCTGTGCTGAGGGCTTGTATCAACAATAGCGTGGCCAGCAGGGACAGGGAATGGATCTTACCCCTGTACTTGGCATTGGTGAGGCCGCACCTCGATGACTGGGTTCAGTTTTGGGCCGCTAGAAAAAGGCCATTGAATGACTCGAGCGTGTCCAGAGAAGAGCAGCGAAGCTGGTGAAGTGTGTGGAGCACTGGTCTGATGGGGAGCGGCTGAGGGAACTGGGGTTGTTTAGGCTGGAGAAGAGTAGACTGAGGGGAGATCACATCGCCCTCTACAACTACCTGAAAGGAGGGATGCAGAGACTGGGGGTGAGTCCCTTTAACCAAGTAACAAGAGATAGGACAGGCGATAATGGCCTCAAGCTGCACCAAGGAAGGTTTAGACTGGCTATTAGGAAGTATTTCTTTCCAGAATGGGTTGTTAGGCCTTGAATTGGGCTGCCTGGGGCAGGGGGGGAGTCCCCATCCCTGGAGGGGTTTAAGAGTTGGGTTGACATAGTACTGAGGGGTATGGTGGAGTTGAGAATGGTCAGTGCCGATTGGACTGGATGATTTTCAAGGTCTTTTCCAACCTTGATGATTCTGTGATTCTGTGAAGGGCTGGAGTTGGAGCGGTGGAGGAAGGGCCGTACTGATGCCATGTGACATAATGCAGCTGGTGTTGGGGCTGCCAAGCTGTGTCAGGAGCTCCCTGCAAGAGTGACGTGCAGTGGTGTGATTCCTGAGTCCAAAATACGATCATAAGTGACGCAGGAGCTGTGTCGTGCTAATGATGAAGAATATCAACAGGAGAAATGAGTTGTAATTTAGCTCAGTAGTGTGTAGAAAATAGGTGAGGTGGAACATCCCCATGGTGCAGCGAGGTGGAGGAAGGAATGATGTAGCAGATGACAGTGGCAGGAGATGACACAACTTCCTGGAAGGCAATGAAGAAAGACAGCAAGTTAGTCAGATGCGCTGACCACTGACTTGTTTGTCGATATTCAGTTACAAATTAAGTTTGACAAGAAAATGATGGTTTTTATATCAGTACTGTCAATTAACCATGATCATTGCATAACTGAAGTAGCAACAGCATTGGTAAGATTCCACATCCAGTTGGACTATCTTAAGTAAAAACAGACTGAATTTGCAAAATTAGCACGATAGAAATGTATGAAACAGCTGAATGTACATGTGTCAAATAATACAATATGTTCAGAAACACATTTGAAAGTAGGAAAATACCGTCTGCAGAACTAAAAGCTTCAATAAAAGGGCTGTCATAAGCATTCTGTTATGTCATTTTCTGAAAATATTTTTTGAAATGTTTGGGTTCGTTGCATGACAGGGCTTAGTTCTACGTATCTTCTTGTAGTCGTTTTTGCGCTTGTTGATTGTTTTTTATTTTTCAAATGTGATATATTGTAAAAATAAGAGTTGGTAATAAATAACACATAGTCCAGAAAAGATAAAGCTACAACTGGTTTGCATTTGGTTTTGTTTGCAACTGTATTGACTTTAAGGATTCACCCTGGATACTGTTTCCTTCCATTTTGGAGTTCCCTTTAGGTCATTCTCATCTGTTTTGCCTGGTAACCAAGACCCAGAACTATGTGCTATTCTAGTGTTCTTGCTAGCGTGTCTTCGAAAAGTGTTATTTCAGAAGCAAGACATAAGCGTCTTGCTTGCCTTTAAAATCTATTTGCTTCTATTGCAAGTAAGCGTCAGCATAACTATGAGCGCTCAAGGGAGCACCCAACCCGCAGGAAGCCTTGACGGTCTCTGCAATGGAGCTGATTGCTAGCTGGTGCAAGTTGTTTGTGAGGAAGTGATGTGAGGGCATGTGTATTTAATTGATACCTTAAGCCGTAGATGTGAGATTTTTTTAATAACCTGTTCTCAGGGTAAATGTCAAGAACAGAGAAAACTATATAGCAGAATATTGGGGGGGGAGGTGGGTTGTTAGTGTTGTGTTTTGGTGGGTTTTTTTTTTGTTTTTTTTTTTTTTAATAAAGAATCTGAGTCTCGAGTAGAGAACTGTTCTCGTGATCCAACATATATTTTGGGATCATGTAGTGAACAATTTCAGAGTGGTTCTCTGCTGGTTTCCTTAACTCCAGGAAAGAGATGAAAAAAAGTAGAGGAAAAACTCTGGAACTTGGGATGGATGTTAACATGCCAGGACTCACCATTACGTACGATTAATTGTTGTCTGCCTGAATTTCGTAAGGTATTATTTTAAAACAAGAAGATGCAAATTACCTGATGATTGTTTCTCCTCTGGTTTCACTGTTCCTGAATCATTAATGATTGCAGATGATTGGCTGCAAACTGGTGTAGTGCTGTCTTCAGTTACTCCCAGATATACTCATCTTCATAATGCCCTCAGTCGTCATTCATAAATCACCTCTTAAGTTGAATTGATGTTGAAAGTAAATGAAGAAATGTGAATGCCTACCTTATTCTGATTTTATGTACTGTGTGACATGTGCATAGCTGCACTGCACTCCAAAACATGTCTCATTATTAGACTTGTGAAAGATTCTGGGCACTGAAGTCGCTGAACTATTTTAGCAGTGTCTATTAAATCAGAAGTCACAGTGCCCTAGGATCCAATGTAAAGTTAGGATCCAATGTAAAGCAAATTGGGTTGAAAAAACTGACTTACAAGAAATTGAGAAGAATGGTGACTACCTTACTGGAAGAATTCCATAGATCTTGAACATAAAACCTGAAAAATGTATTGGAAATGCTCAAAATGATGGATTGTGCAAAGAGAAGGAACATGCTGCAAATAAAGTTTAGTTTATATTTAAGTTAGTTATTAGAAGGCAGAATCGTCACCTAGAGCAAGGCAGAAAAATTACAGGTATTCTCAGTGACAAGTTGTTATGACATAGTAAATGTCTTCCTGTGGATATGTAAAAGATGACGAATACTCTTGACACAAGTCTCTTGATAATCAGATGGCAAAAATTTAGGGGTAAACTGTATTTTTGAAGCTATACAGCCTTTTTTCCAAAGAGTGCCAAAACTATGTGCAGGGCATATTGTGAAGAGAAATTTTTCTTCGTAATCTGTCCCAGAAATGTGTTTTCTTTTCTGTTAAATATATGAATCAGTTATTACTGTTGTACGCCTCATGGACAATGTTAAGATGACCATTTAAAAAAAACCCAAACACCAAAACATACCGACACATAATACATTGTTTGAAAAGTTAAATTACAGTAAAGCTGGGCCCAGTTGTTTTTTATTATGCTGTTTGAATTTTTTATTCTCTCATGTTCTTTTCATGTGTTCTGTTCCTTCCAACAAAGGACATGCATGTTTTCCATCATCTTCATAAACGAGTTGATATTCTGATGAGCCCTTGCAGTGCACAGAGAGAAATTTGCTGAAAATCTGTTTCCTGAGTGTAGTTCTTGTTACTGTTCAGAAGTATTTCACCTGCAGTACTTCTTTTTCTGTGCCAGCATTTTCCTCTTGAGACTTTTTATGTTTTGCTTGCTTACTCAGTTGCAGCATTTGAAATATGGACTCTGGTGAAAAATTCACGACATAATTATTTCAGGTAGCAAATCATTCAACTGTTGCTTTTAAAATACTCTTCACCTTTCCATATGATTCAGAATAAGTCAGTGGAAGGTTCAAGTTGCTGGTAAAAGATAATGAAAAAGCATTTTTGTCAAATTGATTTATAAATAAAGCTGCTTCCGTAATTAAGTAGTAGTTGGAATGTATCTGTAATCTTGTTGTTCTTGGTCTACAAGAAAAAAAGAAATACCGTAACTGTTTTGGGTCTTTTTCCCCTCATAGAAGCTTTTCCTAAACACAGCAAGAACCTGAAGTTGGACTTTTCCTTGAATTATTTTTTTCTTAAAGCTTTCTCACAGATTTGAACACTGGCGGTGTTTAGGGTCAACGTGGAATGGTTAGAAAACAATGGACATGTTATGAGTGGCCTCACTGTAACAACAGGCTGTAGCTGGTGTGAAGAACGCCTGCAAAGCCAAGGACCTGAGAAACTGCTTGCGTAGCAAGAAGATAAGGAAGCTGAACTGTTGAAAACAAGATGTTTGCTTAGCAGGAGAATGGTGCATGGACACCACAGCCTTTTGGCAAGGTCAGCTCATTATGAGTCTTAACAAAACCATGATTGAACCACGTTAGGTCTGTTAGGCTCTATACCACTCAGCTTTGGTGCAGTAGTGTTTAAAGAGAGTGGGAAAATAGCTGCCTCTTTAGTTAATTCTAATGTACCCCTGACTGTCAGCCGAACAGTGTCACCAAGCAACCCTTCAATATACTGGGAACCAACCTGGTGATTACTGTCCCCCAAAATGTCGGTATTCCAATGTTTGGGGTAATAACACAGTGGGATTACGTTTGCCCAATCACACTTTCTTGATCTGTGGGGACAGATCATGGCCTGGAATTTCTTCCAAACCAACAGGGGCCCATGTTATGTGGGAAAGTTAACTATGTTTAAGCCAACCATGATTGATCTTTTTAACAGAACGTTGTTTAATTATACAAACGCCATCGGTCCAAATGACAAGTGTACCAGTGAGGACCTAGATGTAATGATCGAGTGCAATTTTGGAATAACCATACAAACATTATTGCTTCCCTAGTGTCTCCAGTTGGGACCAAAAAGCATTACAACTAGTCACTCGTCTTGCAATTTGGACTGCTAAACAAATGAACTTGACATCAAATATAATAGGTGATTTGGCTATGGATGT